ATTTGTTATTGCCTGAATATATGTGTAATTGTGTATTCAGCTGGACAGAATAACATTTAAAGAAAACTGTACAATGCATGTAATCATAACATGCGTATCTTGCTTTAGAAGATTTTCTCACGTTCAATTTACGTCTTTATAACAGTCGCTTCGTGTCACGAACATATACTTAGAGGTATATTCCTGTCGTCAGACGTATGTATTTACTTTATTAAGCAAAAAATACAAGAGTTTGTTCTCGTGACACCGCCTTGAACCCGTCGCAATTCAGGGATTTACCCACGGTCGGTGAGACCAAATATTGTTCGAACAAATGCCTCGAGATCTTAGACAAAGGCACATTGGAACATTATCTCGTTTTTTGTTCAGGCTATGCAGAATCTTAATTGCCATGGCAAATATGGTCTGTCTCTAGAGATTTTGATGTTACAATTAGAAACACGCATGCTAACAGTGCAGCTGAATTGTTACATATATTACAATCGTACTGTACACTTATTTATACATTATCTACAATTTTGTTTAAAAACATTTCACTATTTTTGTAAAAACTCAAATCATTTTCTTACAAATCTCATCATCAACAGCTTATAAATGCCCACTGCTGAGCAAAGCCTCTTCTCACATGGAGAAGGTTAGAGCATTAATTACCACGCTTGCTCAATGCAGGTTGGCGATTTCAAACTTATAATTAGAAAATATAAGCCCAGGTTTCCTCACGATGTTTTCCTTCACCGTTAGTCAGTGGTGTCTAAATAATCTTAGAAAGTACATATAAATCGGAAAAAATCACATTGGTACTTGCCGTTGGTAGGTTTCGAACCCGCACCCTCGTGCATGAGAAGCAGGTGTCTTCAACCTGCGGGCCACCACGACATCTTACGAAACTATTGCTACGGTAATTAAAAATACAAACTGTACTCATAAAGAGATAACAATAATTGTTATGAATTTGCTAATCGTATGACCGCATTATGTCTAATGCTACGGCAAGCGTATCATTTATGATAAGATTGCCATAATACTACGGCGTAGCAAGAATAAGTAGCAGGTGTCTACAGGTATACTACGCCGTAGCATAAGAATTTGTCATTGATATTGTATAAGTAGTACTCTCCCTATTTTTCTGGGTTGTTCAATTTTTAAGTTATTAAATCTTTATGTAAATTAAAAAAAATAGTCTGCAAATACATACCTTCCATTTTTATAAATACCTAATCTATTTAATTACGTAAGTTAGGTAACAAGTGTTTATATTTTGGACGCATTTAGCTAACAAAATACCTCTTTCAATTACTCACTGTCACTTCGGTTCTAGTAGGAGACAGATTCTAATCTGCAATGAAAATTCACTAATCAATCAAGGTAAGATATCGCGGATAATAGGTGAATATAGACAAGGTTAGCCTCGATACATAGTTTTAGTTTTCTATTTACAGTCTTGGTCTACTAAATAGCAGAAAGGTCTTAGAATTTAAGTTATAGTTTGACAAAAAAGTCATGGAGAACCATGATTCAGGACTGATACTTTAATTAAGGTTGCTAATTTTCCAAACTGAACTGTCCCAGGTATCGTTTTAGAAACAAAACAAATTATAAAAATTAATTACTTGATCACGGGAATCATGGATGACTTTCAGAAATCTTCATACATTTGTTTCGTTTCTAAAGGAATACTGATTATGGATACTGAATTTGATTAAGAACCTGGTCTACTCTCTATACACAAAGACCATAAACATTTAATCTTAATGTCCATGAATTGCAAAAAATGAACCAGTATTATTTCGGTTGATTCGCGAAATATATACTTAACAAACAATCGCTAATACATACGTAATGTATTTATAGACTTTACCTTCGATTCAGATAAGTCTGCCAGTTTAGCGCTCATGGAGTGATTGATGAGGCCAAATCTCACCAATACCATCAGGCAATTATTTTAGCAAATAATTTCTAACATTGTCATCGATATCTTTAAATTTCCTAGCACTCGGCAGCAATACGCGGATTATTTGTGGTATGGGCGTTTTCATGGGAAATAAGCAGATGAATCAACTGGTGCTAAGAAATCAGCGTCCCTTATGGACAAATACGATACCAGAGAAGTTACAAATGTGTTGCTCGTAGTTCAGGCTCCCTTCTTCACGGTATTCTGTGATACTGTCCCAGCTATCACTTTGATAGAATAGTCCTGTTCGTTCTAAAGTTCTTCAGTCAAAAGTCAAAGGACAATTTTGATTTTGGGGTGTGTTTGTTTGCTAACCGGTTTTATAGTAACAGAACTAAAACTCTTTCTCAGTTTTAGTCGTGATTTCAGGAGATCTGACAAATATGCCAATATTTTACTAACCTCACTTAAATTTTAGGGGTTTAAGGACCCCTAACGACGTTTTGGTTTACACCAACCAATAACACATAACATTACAAGTGATGTGTTAGATTAGCTGCTCCACGCTAAGTAGCTCGTAACTAAGAAATGGTTTAGGGGTGGATCGTGAATATGGCTATTAGTCAAATATTTGTCCCCTAAACAAAATCTCCACTTTTGGCCCGGATGATGTGGAGGCTGTCGAGCCATTGATGATGATATGTAGAATTTAGAAATCTATATTTGCTTGACTTGAAATGCATTTTTCAGATGTTGTTTCGAGATCTTTATTCATAGTTTTATTAACTTACGACCTTGATTTTATTGATACACCATTATTATTATCGATACTTCACACCATGGTTACATTACAATACAGTCTAATATGAAGTTCTTCTCTAGATTGTTATTTATATTAGGAATTCTCATTTGTTCCTCAATACCTTCCTTTTAATGATAGTATTTCGCGACATTCCATTGCTAACCACCTTCTCCATATATGAGAGTTTGCCTTAACTCCACGTTTGAAAGGTTTTAGAACCTCAGGGTTTATTAGTATCAAAATAAGTTTCTACTGTTACTACCATCAATAATTGCCATCTGCTACATATTCTGTTTACCTTTCTGTGTCATTTGTAAATTAAAGTCAGTTACGCAACAATCACTACGCGTGTTTCATTATTTGACGGTCTAGAGTATGAAGAGGTCGACTTATTTAGTGTAGACAGTTTAGGTTTTTCTGATAGCGCTGCTTTGTGAAATCTTTGTGAAATCTGTGCTCACATAGTCTCTTACTGCACCCACTGGGATAGTGCGGGTGGTTCTTTGTTTATTAACTCTAGATCTAGAAAAAACAACTGCGAGGTGAAAGATTATGTTACTAATGTTTAGACTAGCTGCTAGACTGTTATGGATAACTATAATTGTTATTTTGAGAAATATTATTTTTTATTTTCTAGACATAACTAACACCCACATTGTTACGAATGGGTTGTTGATCGCATTGTACTAGAGGTTAAGTTAGTTATTGCAGACTGGACTTTAAGTTATTACTATTATTATGGATTTCGTGAAACTTTTATTAGGTTTTAGTTAAAAAGTTTACTAACTTGGGAATTGTACCCATGACTTCTTCGTGATTGATCATCAACTTGAATCTAAACGAGCGGTAAGTAATTTGTACATATAACTTAACTAGATTCTGTCTGCAGCTTTGCCTGCATTCTCACGAGATAAAAGTAGACTGAGTGTTATTGCAGACCATAATCTACCTCTGTTCTACATCCCGATCCCTTAAGCTGTTTTGACGTAAAGAAGTAACAAACAGCTAAACTTACAAACTTTCATAAAAATAAGGAGGATTTCTATTGTTTTTTTTTCATAGCATATGCCGTAAACGAGCAGACGGAACACCAGAAGCATTACAAGTGCGTTACCTTTTTGGGATAAGGAGTTTGAGGATTGTTGGGGATTCGGGGATTGGGGAGATTGAGGAAGGGGGAGGGAGCTGGGCCTCCGGTAACCTCACTCACACGACGAAACACAACACAAGCGTTGCTTCACGTCGGTTTTCATGTGAGGCCGTGGTATCACTCCGGTCGAGCCGGCCCATTCGTGCCGAAGCATGGCTCTCCCACACTTTTTTGGTTTTAAAAATATAATGTTCCTAATATACTATCATCACATTTAATTTAATCTCCGAAATGATAGGTGAAGGCGCACTCTGCATATACACAATGTTATAGACTTATAGCCAGTTATGTTGTGAGTTGCATGCAATAGATGGTGACTTCGGTAGCCAATCGCCACATACCAATACGTTTTTTATCACCATATTTACCTTTCTAGATTTTTTTTACAAAATTGATCATAATTAGGAAATAAATAATGCCGAGTAAAAATCGAAACTTTTACTCGACAGTCACACTTGTGATGGTTTGATAAATAACAATTAAATTACATTGAAAATGAATGCCCATATTTTGCATCGAAAATTAATTTTATATGTATTATCTCACAGAAAGTACCGTCTTAATTTTAAATTATAAGTAGTAACAACCTGAACGTTTTGTAATACATCTGAAGTATAATACCTACTAAGATTGCTAAGCTTAAGTTCAACGACCAAAGATACAAATTTATAGAGTGTAACACGTGTTTTTCAGATTACGAAGAAATGAAACCGAAACTTTATTATTTAAAACAACAGCCATTTTGTGAATGTCTATCTATTTTTAACTTATTAATAGGATGTGAAACACATTATTACCCAAAAATCTCGTAATAAAATTAACCTAGTTGAGTAAAGACCACAGTCTAAAGTCCACCCTGTTTTTTAATTTTATTGTCGTTATTATGTCAATATTTAAAATCCTAATGTCATAGCATGTATGACCATAAACATCAATTAATAAACCACAACAATAATATCTAATGCTATTACAGTTCTTATCAAAATTTTAATTAAAACTATACTACTTAATATTCACAATTTTGCCAATCAGAAATACGTTTTCAAAAGTAAAGGAAAATAAACAGAGAAAGTGGTGGCGTTTCGTAGAATGTTCCTAGTACGTTTATATGTTATATAAGTTGAACAACGCGGAGGAGAGCTTTTAGTAAGAGTCATGTAGCCGGCGACACCGCTCGCTCCATCGGTACGCGATCATGACACTAAAACAGTTCGCTTCCACACGAATAAGTTCGAATTGAGTTTGTTAAAAAATACATTTATTTAAATACACGGTTCGATAAATTAAAATTAAATAATTTAGCTTAAAAACTTTCTTTGTTTTAAATTGACCGCGAAAGTTTTAGTGATGGGTTCGTTCAGTCAATCGAAACGGTTGAAAAATCTGCAAAATTTAAAAAGTGGCGCCATTAAGTTGCCGAGGCATTGGTCTAAAATGCTTGGGCTGGTTAATGTCAGCAAGGCTTCAGCGGAGGAGATTTTACAAGTAAGTAAAGTGAAATAATAATTCCGCTTCCAACCGAACTATCTGGAAGTCATTGGGGGGCCTATGTTCAGCAGTGGAAGTCTTATGGCTCATATGTTGATGGCGAAGAAAATCATTAACTACAAATTGTGAATACTCATAAACAACATCAAGAGCGTTCATTGTTTATTCGACTTTAATAAAAGTACACAGATTGTTACTTGATTTGACGGTTTTTAAAAATATTAGGAAACGTTAAAGCGACATTATAACCTAGCTTAGGCAATAATTTACGAAGGTAGTGAGTCACTTCAGTTATTAAAGTGGTCATTAGCTACACTGGATTTATACCTTTTATTACCGTCTATTCATTCTGTAGTTTAAGTAACTGTTTATTCGTTCTATAGGTTTCGATAACCGATATTGTGATTGAGATTAAAACGCAAATATTAGCGTGTGTGAAGAAAATAAACCTTAATATTCAAGGATTTAGTAAATAAATGAAATAAATCTTCTATTTTAAACCTTAAAAGACTTCGGATTGTTATTACCGCGGTATTTTCTTTTATTGATATTCAAGTACTATTTAAATCTTGATACCGGTAACAAAAATAATAATAATTTTCTTTTATTACATTGGTAAATTTAATTCTATAAGTATCTGTAAACCTATGCATAATAATAAACCTTTACTAAGGAAATGAAGCTATGAAGTTTTTGAACATTCTTACTGAAAAATAAATTAACTTGATAATCTTTAAAATTAAAATAAAAAAATTACAATTTCTGTCTCCAAAATTTATTTTTCCTGTCCCACGTTGGGCGCCAACTTACTTCACAAAAGTTTTGCTAATTTCAATAAACGGAGTTTAATCGAAACAGCATCTAATTAAAACGGGTAAACGAAGCCTTCATAGGAAATTGTTTGTTTAATTTGATTCTAACAAAGCAACTGAGCTTTGTGTTCGGTCTAACTAACATCTTGAAGTCATTTTTTCAGAAAACCTAATTTTATTTTTAGTTATATCAAAAATTATGGCGATTTGTTGGTTAAAATTGGTATTCAGAACAAACCACAAAGGCTCTGTCATGTATCGTCTATTGAACGTTACTTAGATTGTATGATTTTCCTATAAAATTACAGAAGTATAATGAAATCTTTTATTAACTGGAAGTAAAATAAGTCGTAACTGTTCCCTGTGTTTGTGTGTTTTTCTAATATTTGCGTTAAAAATCAGATCACCTATTCTCTATTATCTAATTATTCTATTCTATTCCCCAATTATCTCCTATTCTATAATAATCCTTGCATAACCCTAATAGTTCATCTTAATACGTGTTCTCTAAATCTTTACATTTGTGTTATTTTTGTACTTCCGAAATATTCATAACATAATAACATAACATCACGCCTTTTATCCCCGCACCCACTTTTCACTATTTATGTTATGAGTCCCATGTAAATCCCACGAAATATTTATTTTACGCAATATTATGTTCCTAGAAAACAATAAATTAACTTGATAGTCATTTTCAAAACCTCCCTTTTCCGGAACTAATGAAGCTATTCATAAACATGGATTTTTCGGTTCTTCAATGCTTACATTAGCATCAGAAAGGAAGACATTTGGCAGGCGATAGTGTGATGGATTGCCTTTTACATTTCAAAATCATAGTTTACACGAAATGATAAAGGAAATGCAACCTTAAGAAGAATAATATTGTGTATAAACTTAAGTCTTTTTTCGTTTAAAACGATACAAGGATAGCAACGAAGCAATGTGTTTTATTCAATAACTACCTTCAGCTCTTGTATCTGTCTGTAATCTTGTATCTGTAATCTGTAAACTATTATTTTGTACCTACCATTAACGATTTATCAAAAAATATCGTTGTTCGGTAGAACATCTCAAATATTTTAATCATATTTACTCTCATTGAACTTATAAAAATAATCTTATAATGTATAAAATTGTAAATTATTTTTTTTATTTTGTACTTCGTAAAGTATAATATCTAGAAATCATTCAGAAAATTTAAATTATTGTAACAACATAACAGAAAGTGGAGCACACTGAAGCAAACAATGCGATCGTAACTAGCAATGAAACACAAACTTACTTTACTGTTTCTTTATTTTCCAAATTATTTCCGACTTAGAGGGCAAAGGCATGACCTCGGGTTTAAAATATAAGTACTTATTAACTCCAAAATTCTGTCCCGGAATCCTATTTATTCCGCAGATTTATTGGCCACGTAATGAATTTTTAAACTTAAAAGGAGTTGATTATTCAAAAAGAAGTTGTTAAAAATGTTAATGTAAAACATAACCAATTTGATTTTGCATTTTATTTTACCATCGAATACTTGAAACAAATTTTAAAAATAACGGAAAAATTAATTATTATAATTCTGTTTATAATATAATCAGTCATACTGAAGCTATTTAAAAAACAAAATGTTCATTTATACTAACCATTATAAATAAATAATAAATAAATAAAATTTTTATTCATAAGAACACTGGTCAACATAGGTACAAAAATATCTTAATTAAGCGACAAGATCTTAAAAATAATATGCCTATACTAGGAATATTCCTGTGTCACAGGCGACCGGAGCTCTAGAAATATGTTACTGATAAGACAACTTATTTATAGTATATGTAAAATATTTAACACAATTTTCAGAAGTAAGGTAGGATTGTTTAATATACTACATTACATACATACATACATACATACATACATACATACATACATACATACATACATACATACATACATACATATAATAACATCACGCTTTTTATTCCCTGAAGGAGAATTAAAAGTTGAACTTACATAATACATTAATATAAAATTAAATAAAATATCGTATAAGCTATATTCATATATAAACTAGATAATATTACATGTTACAAGGCTATCAATTATTTTAGATCGTCTGCAGAAACACAAAAAACTAGGTCAGAGTCCATACGGTCACTCACTTGTTACAGTTAGATCAAATGTGCTTGGACAGCAATAAATTGCTGAGTAAGCCAACCTGTTAATGTGCAATTGTTATACAAGTGACCCAAACTAAACGAAATGAATAATCGAATTGGAATTCCGACTTCGAGCATTTTTTCTTTATGCGCCTTCATAATCGATGGAATTTATATATCTGTGTTCGGCTATCTTCCTGGCTGGGCACTCTGCGTCTCCTGTCTTGTGACTGTTGGGCTTGTTAAAGCGAGAGCATGTGGTACATTTTGGGAAGTCGATTGTCTTCGTGCACACGGATGTCATGTGTCCTGTTTCTCCACAATGGCCACACACTGAGTAGAGCTCCCGGCATGTCTTTGCCGCGTGGCCATACTGCTGACATTTATAGCAACGCGTTACTAACGTGAAGTCTCTGACAGGGCAAGACGTCCAGTTTATATAGAGTCTCTCTTGCGATATAAGCGCTTTACGGATGTTGGCTGGAACTTCAATGATGTAATTACAAGTCGGCGCGTCTTTTCTGCCAGATTTGTGACTTAACTTCACACTTGTTAGGAAAGACTCTATAGTCAACTCTTGGAACTTACCAGCTATGTTTTGTTCAAATATGCACCTGAGGACATCAGCATCGGATAAAACAGACGGCACTCCTAGAACTGTGATTCTTGGTTTTCGTTTTTTTGCTTCATCGGCAATAAGTCCAGACGATGATAGGGCTAGTGCGTCTTTAACTTTCTTAGCATCTTCTTTAGACTCAGTGCTGATTATAACGCCTCCGTTATGGATTTTACGCACACCACGCACATGTAGCTGCAATTGGTCAGGGCGTATGATTTTTTGCACAAGAGATTTTGTTTCATCGCTAGATTTTGACTTATTTGCTGGGTAAATTGCAATAGAAGTCAGATTTGTAGGTCGCACGAAGTCAGTTCCCTTCTTTACCATGTCAGCAAATGAAACATTTCCCGTTGATGCTGAATCCTTGATAGTCTGCTTGATGTCCGAAATTTGTTCCACAAGGTCCTGCTTTTCTCTCATCTCATCTATAATGTTGACGGCTATGCGGGCTTGCTGCTTAAGAGCTTGGTATAAGACAGCCATTTGCGAGACATCAGCACCAATTTTTCGGCTCAGGTTGGATATTTTAAGTTTTTGGTCCGAATTAAGTTTACCCTCTGTGGAAATAGTGCAAACTTCATGTAACAGGTCTTCAATGTTTGACATCCAATTTTGAATATCGGGCGTCGACACAGCTTGTATCGAGAAGTCAGAAGTACGGCTGCTCTTTAATGGTGAAGTACAGGAAGCCAGCTTGCTCGGGTTTAAATCCATCTTCGAAACAACTAAGTTTGTATTTCCATTATTTATAACTAAGTATCACAATAAGCAGAATAATAATGTAGGTCACTATTATTGCTTTGATTCAATATTTCTAATATGCACGTCTGTTCACATCGAACGTCAAGAATCGAACATCATTGTCAGTTATTAGTTTAAATATTAGGTAATTTTTTCTGTTTTCCTACGAGTACAAGATCAAAACGCACGCGAAGTAGATGGCGATAAAACTGTCTAGAATGAATGTTATCAAAATAATATTTCTATCGTCAAGGACCTAGACATCATGTTTCGAGGCCTTTTTTCTATGGCCTGCTATAAACACCACTCCGTTTAATTGTCTTAAGTCGATCACTTAATTTGAGTGGCAATTTTGTAATCTTTCGAAAACGTCGAACCCAGTTAGTGACAGTACGTACAGCAATAGTTTTAATTGAAAAACCTTTAGTGGTGATATGAAGTTTTTTTGTGAGTGCGCAATGAAAACGATGCAAAGAACACACATATTCTTAGGCACACACATAAGGCACACAAGTAATGAGTACGCAGCCGCTTTACTAAAATGTGACGATGTTGATATTTATTTAACATTTGTAATTCAAATTATTTAATTATCTGGAAAGAAATACAGAAAGACTTTTCTCTATATGAAAACAACTTTTAATTATAATTCTTAATGCTGTGTATACTTCT